TTAAAATCAATTTAAAACCATTGAAATTTGAAGAACCACCAACAACTAATACAGAAAAACCACCTTCCGATTCGACAGATATTAATCGTATACCGTAAGTAATTTATTTTCTACTATTGAAAATCTATTCGATCAATGATTTTATTTCTATAGAAAAATATAATTGAGTAAAATTCCATTATTGAATATGTAATGATGAACAGTAAACAATTCATATAAACAACAACAAAAAAAAGAAATAATAACTGAGAATGTCATACAAATAATCATTGTGATAATAAGAGATAATTTCCAAGTGATTATTTTGCAAAAAATTTTACATATAAACAAAAGTTCCAATGTCAAGTATTGGTCTTCATAATGAATGATTGTCTCGAGTTACAAAATTCTCTTCTTTCAGTGTTTGATTTGATTAATTTATTTTCAAAATTTTAAAAGAAAAGACTTAATGTTTTAGATAAAATTAATATACAGTTAAGTGAGACTGTGCTCATAAAACTATTCATTCATACTGTGACGAATAATTTAACGAGCAGCGTTTTATTCAGTGTTGGGGCCTAGGGGTGGTGCCTCTGCGAAGATTAAGTTGGTTCTTCCGGAATTTTTTATTATTATGTAACATGCTATGTGTCTGTGTTCCACAATATAGATGTGTACTCTTCCAGAATATTAGATTGTCCCTCCAGAAATAAAAGTCCGGATGAAACACTGCTAATGAGAGAATGTTTTCAACTGATCAATCAGGGTCTCACCAAAAAAATTAGTGGTTTGTAGTCTGTCAAAGATGTTTATGAAAAATTCTCATGGATCTTCATCTACTGGCTTTCTAGAAAACTGGTTTTACAAACTAAAAAACTTGCCGTTATCGTTCTTTTTGCAGCAAATGTAGCCTTTTTAATTCATTCAACATTTTATTGTTAAAAATCTTCAAGATCATGTTATTTTACTTAAAATTTATTTTTGAAAAACAAAAGGGATTATTGTCTTTCAGAGAATGCGATTTGCTCTATAATTTAAGGAGATCTAAAATGGTTTTGGTAAAGTTTTTGCTAGTTTGGAAAACCAACATGTAAAGATCTAGAAGGATTTCTTATAGTTATTTCGGAATTACCATGGTCGATTGCATACGATCCAATAGCTTTCGATGAGAAAACAGTTGACCAGTTGAAAACATTTCGTGGTAAGAAATAAATACTTTCTTTCAAGGAATAAGATTCTCTACAAAGAAGAAAGAACAATAAAAGTGACGTTGTGATGATATACTTTTAAAATTCAACATAAAATATTTTCTAGTATACATGAAGTGTGTTAAAATTCTTTTATTAAATATTCTTTGTGATAATGAACATTCACACTTCAACTTACTTCTTGTTTTTCTATTTGAATTATCAAGAGATTAAAATAATAATTATTTCTTTTTCTTTAATAGTAGTCGACCAACTTCATCAACATCGAATCATCGTGATCTTAGTACTGGCCAACTTTATTTGTCTGATACAAAAGTTTGTCTTGTTTAAAATTTATAGATTTTTTATTTTCTATATTTCTCAAGGTATATAAATTTACATCCAATGATTTAATTGATCGTGGTGTTATTGGAGAAGGTAATTTTGGAATTGTTTGTAAAATGGAACATGAAAAAAGTAGAACAATAATGGCTGTGAAAGTAAATTAAATTGAAATTATCTTCATTTAAATGAAAATTTCTGGTTTTTCTTTTATCTATATTTTTAGCGAATTCGTTCAACTGTCGATGAACGATGTCAAAAACAAATGCTCAATGAATTAGATATTGTCATGCGTGAAAATACTTGTCCACATATTGTTAAATTTTATGGTGCTCTCTTTAAAGAGGGAGATTGTTGGATTTGTATGGAATTAATGGATACATCACTTGATCGTTTTTATAAATATGTTTATCATAAACTCAATCAATGTATACCTGAAAGTGTTCTTGCTTATATAACTCTTGCGGTATGATTATCTTATATTAATATTTATATTAATTCTTTTTTTTTTCTAGACTTTAGAAGCGCTTAATTATATAAAATCTCGTTGGCAAATTATTCATCGAGATGTAAAACCATCAAATATATTAGTTTCTCGAACAACTATTAAACTTTGTGATTTCGGTATTAGTGGTCAATTAATTGATTCAATTGCTAAAACACGTGATGCTGGTTGTCGACCATATTTACCAGTGAGATTCGTTTAATTTCTTTTATTTAAATATATTTTCATATATTTAGCCTGAACGTATCGATCCAACACGAGCTACATGTGATGGTTATGATGTTCGATCCGATGTTTGGTCACTTGGAATTACAATTGTAAATATTTTTCTTTTCATCAAGAAAATTATACTGAAAAAGAAATATATATTTTATAGTATGAAATTGCCACGGGATATTTTCCATTTCGAGAATGGACATCTGTATTTGATCAATTACAACAAATTGTAGAAGGTCCTCCCTTACGACTTAACGTTGCTCGTCTTTCAAATAATTGCAAAGATTTTGTAAATACATGGTAATAGACATGTTTTCTTTTTTTTTTAAACTAAATCTAATTTTATTTTATTTTTTTACAAATTTAGTTTAAATAAAGATGAAAATCAAAGACCAAAATATAAAAAATTATTAGAACATTCATTTGTACGCACAGCAGCAACGCCAGAACAAGCTGAAAATTCTGCTGCTTACTTTTCTGAAATAATCGATGGACTCTTAGAAAACACGGACACATTTGATCTTTATTATTATTTACCGTCTGATTCTTCGGCAACATTAAATCCTCGGTGACTAACTTGTGCTATTGAATGAATTTCACTTTTCTTGATTATTTATGTGTATATCGAAGTAGACGTCAAGTCAAAAAAAAAAAAATCTTTATTTGTATCGTCCTTTTTCTTTCTGCTGTATTTTTTGATCAAGGAAGTTTTTCTTTGTAGGATCCTTTATTCTCGCTTATTTCATATTGATGTTGTCAATCGGTGGTTGTTGTTATTTCCATTCTTTGATAGAACAATTCTTCTTCTTCTTTTTTTTTCTGCGATGCTCTATTTGTTGTCTTTGTATGAAAGTAATGTTTGATGAATATCTATTGCAAAACAAAGAACAAAAACAGACAAAAAGTATCATTCCATAATTGATTAGTAAAAATTTAACTAAATATTTATTATTATTATTTTTTCTTTATTGCATGAAGTTTTCACAGAGAACTAAAAGATCTATCTAAAAACATAGTGTTTGAAATACTCTTATTTACACATAAAAATGAAGAAATAGATACATTACAATGATAGACAAAATTTTTTGTACGATTTTTAAATCAAATTATTTCACATTGGAAGTGTTTAGAAAAAAAAAAGAATTCATGCTAATGAAAAGAAGAAAATACGGGCTACATTTTGACAAATGAGATTCTTTATAGGAAAATTTTCTATGAAACATTTATTTCTAGTAGCTAAATCATTTTCTAAATTTAATATTTTGCTTATTAAAAACAACTATCCTATTGGTTACTTTGGTTCATGATTTATTTTGGATTATTTTTGTTTGAAATGTCTAAGCATATGATTAGAAGTAAAGATGAAGATGTTAATCATATTTTATTGAGATTGTTAAGCTTCAATATGTCAATGACAGAAGAACAAATACAAATTATCAAACTCATTAAATTTATCTAATCAAATCAATCAGAAAATTGCTACATAACCATTAGGTTTCCCAAATACAGATAACTTTTGATGTGCTTATGCATCGAGCGCTACATATTTCACAAAAAGTCATACTACTACTATTATTATTCCCCTAGAACATTATGCCATTTTGAGCAATGTCTTCAAACAACTGCAGTATACTAGGCTTAAGGCAGTAGTTCTAGCAATTTTAAATACATGATTGATTGCAAACAATATCATTGCTTCCTTGTTTATTGATATCAAAAAAAAGCAGCTATACGATACACTTGATGATTAACAATGAAATAAAAGTTGTATTTAACTTACGATTTTTTTTCGAAATAAAAACCTTGAAAGTAAGCCAAAGGTCATTCGTGTCGTATTTGAAAGATGTCATGATGCTGGATTATGATATTTCAACCGTACAGAACAATAGTTAATGCTTCGTACAAAAAAGATGATTACTATCATCATCGGCCTGATTAATTTAGTCAAGTTTGACGAGCTCTATGGAATGATTTAGATTTTATTTGAATGAAAAGAGAAAGTTAACTAGAATTCCACCCGACCCAAGGCCGGGTAGAGAAGTCGGCTGACTGCACGAGCCCAAAAAACATCGAAATCTGATCCTATACGACATCTACTATTTCTAAAACCAAGACGCATGTAGACGAAATCATAATGAATCTGAGTCATAAAGTTCCATATAAGGAAGCTCTCAGCTGTTCATTATTGTTCTTCGTATTTCAGCTGTTTAAACCATGAAGAAATTTTTCTAAACGTTTGAGACTCTTTCATGGACGAATTTAAGCCATGTAAGACGATAATTAAAATATATATGCATTTGACATCTTATATATGAATGGTCATCTAAGATTGAATCAT